AGAGAGTCACCAGGGCAGGGCGGGGTATATAATATCTGATCTTAGATAGAATGCCAACAGTTTTTGAAACTTTTTTTGATATATTTAGAATGTGTCCCTGGAAATTCAGCTTGTGGTCAATGAGAATGCCAAGGAATTTGCAATCTAATTTATTACAAATTTGGGTATTGTTTATTTCGAGATTTATTTGATTAGAGGATTTATTGCCAAACAGAATATAGAAAGTTTTGTCAATGTTAAGGGTGAGTTTGTTTGCAGTTAGCCAAAGGTGGAATTTATTTAGCTCAGTATTTACAGTGGCATTTAGAGCAAGGGGGTCAGGACTGGAGTAAATGAAGGTTGTGTCGTCAGCAAATAGAATTGGTTTGAGGTGTTGGGAGGCATTTGGAAGGTCATTAATGCAGATGAGAAAGAGGAGAGGGCCAAGTATGCTGCCCTGAGGAACACCAATGTTGATGGGTAGGGTGGGAGAAATTGAATTATTCACAGAAACATACTGGAGCTTGTCATTAAGGTAGGATTTGAGGTATTGCAGGAGCACAAGGTTGTGCAACTTCTGCAGCCATGGGTTACTTCTGAGAGGTTTGAAGTTTAGACAGGGAGCCATAGATTGATTGAATTCTAAAGCTTGAGATTCAAGTTGAGTTGAAGGGGGGGAGTGAGGAGGGGGAGCGGATGCTGTGTTTACCAACATCGGCGAGGATTGCAGCGTTGCCAGTGTTCCATTCAGATCTCTAGGAGTTATGGATGCAGAGCGAGAGGCACGCCTACCTTGCTTGTTGGGCCAGGATACGAACCCATGACATAGCGCTCGCTGAACGCCAGGCGAGTGTCTTACCACTACACCACGGAGACTGCATTTAAATTGGTTAATTTTGGTTGATTACTGCTGAGGTTCGCTGTGAGTTATGGCATATTAAGTCTCTATGCACTTAACTCATAATGGGCAGCAGTTAGGCCATGCAATGTTGAGTGGAGACGAAATTAACACGAATTTTCTGCAGCAGTGCCGGTGCCACCCGCCAGTCCACTACTAAATACAGGATGTGTATGGCGTGCACTACTGCCTGCAGGATAAGTATGGGGTCCACTATTGCCCACAGGATGAGTATGGGGGTCCACTACCGCCTACAAGATGGGAATGGGGGTCCACAAGATTGATATGGGGTTCAATACCAAACACAGGAAGGGTATCTGGTCTAATACCGCCCACAGGATGGGTATGGGGTCCACTGCCACCTACAACATGGGTATGGGGTCCACTACCACCTACAAGATGGGTATGGGGTCCACTACCACCCACAGGATAGGTATTGGGTCCACTACCACCCACAGGAAGGGTATGGGCTCCACTACCACCCCCAGGATGAGTATAGTGTCCACTACCACCAACAAGATGGGTGTGGGGTCCAATAGCACCCTCAAGATGGTTATGGGGTCCACTACCACACACAGGATGGGTATCGGGTCCACTACCACCCACAAGTGGTAAATCAGTAGAGCTAATTATCAGGGAGTCATGAAGTTGTTTCTGCTCTAGGTCATCTTCGGAAGCCGCCAGGTAAATCTGAAGTAGGTTTATTTGTTTTTCTAGCTTTTGAAGGAGGTCACTTTGAGCTGAGAGGGTTTCCTCGGCTTGAATCTTTTGTATTTGATCCCTTGCGTCATTTGCAATAGTTTGTAAGTTGAGAATTTCTTGGTTGTTGTTCGTCGACGATTCAAGGAGGCGGTCTATGGTTTGTTGTTGTTGGGTGACTGTGGCTTGGAGGGCCGAAATAGCTTCAGATCAAATCAAATCAAATGTTTATTTAGGTAAGGTACATACATACAAGAGATTTTACAAAGAGTGATGGATTTATAGATAGGGCTAGTCCATACAATGCCTAAAGCCACTATTACGCAAAGCGTTTCGGGCATGAAAAACTTAAATGACTAAAGCTTAATACTAATTGAGCATAAAGAGTAAAATGAAAACATGGAAGGAAAACATAGCTGAAAAAGCAGCACAAATACAATTCTGTCGACAAACAGCGCTCTTTAAGAAAAACAGACATTGGTTGTCAATAGAGGGGTAAGGTAGGTTACAGGGAATTTATTAGGTATAGCTTCGTTTTTATCTTAAACTGGTTGAGAGAGGTACAGTCTTTAACATGGTTGGGAACGTCATTCCACAATCTGGGTCCCTTGATTTGCAGAGCATTTTTAGTTTGATTAAGTCGTACTCTAGGAATATCAAAACTGTATTTATTTCTGGTGTGGTGCTCATGGGTTCTGTTACAACCGGCAGATGATTGGGGAGCCCCAGCAGTCCCACAGGGTGACAAGCACCGGCCCCGCCCCACACAGAGAATACTGGGTAACAAAACCAAAAACTCGGCCCCCAACTAAAACGCAAAAGTCATCCAGTGCCCTCCGGCAGAGCAGAAGCCAGCCGCTCACCACGGCTGAGGGCACACCAGGAGCCCACCAAGACCCATCAACCCCCAGCACCTCTCGGCCAAGCCAGCCCCCGAACACCTCACCCCGCCGGGAGAACCAGCCAGAACACGTAAAAAAAAATCTATCAAGAATCCTGTGACCCAAGGCGATATGTGCGCCAGGCGTCGTATAACTGAACCGTTGAATAGGGATGCCAAACGGCAGTAGCAAAGCCAAAACGGGTAAACAGGACATGAACCAGCGGCTTCCAGGCTATGGAGGTGTCCAAACATCCGCTCGTTGTCAAGGTTGAATCAGAAGTCCCGGCCATCATAGAGTGTCCTTGTGTGGTGGAGGAGTTGTTGTTGTTGTTGATTTAGAGGCGACGACGATTGTGGGATCGGATGCGCCCCGGCGTACCCTTGAAGGGTTAATCGCGAAGCCAGGAAAGGTGAAACGCCAAGCCAAAACGCGAAACGAGTGACGCTAATCACTAGAAACTAATATGCCATACGGCAAATAAACGCACAGTCAGGCAGATGATTGTTGAGCCCCAGGAGTCCCTCAGGGTGACAAGCACAGGCCCCGCTCCACACAGAGAACACCAGGTAGCAAAATTAAAATGCGGACCCCCAACTAAAACGCAAAAAGTCATCCAGTGGCCTCCGGCAGAGCAGAAGCCGGCCGCCCACCACGACTGAGGGCACACCAGGAACACACCAAGACCCGCCAACCCCCGGCACCTCTCGGCCAAGCTGGCCCCCGAACACCGTCACCCCGATGGGAGAATCAGCCAGAACATGCCAAGAAAAAAGAAATCTATTAACAGTCTCGTGACCCAAGGCGATATGTGCGCCCATGCGTCGTACAATCGGACCGTTGAAGAGGGATGCCAAACGGCAGTAGCAAAGCCAAAACGCGAAAACAGGACGTGATCCGGCGGCTCCCAGGCGGAGGAGGTATCCAGACGTCCGCTCGGCGTCAAGGTTGAACCAGGACGAGTGGTGGAGGAGTATTGTTTACTAAAGTGTCAGCGTCTGGACACAGAGGCGATCCATCCCAAGGCGACTATCGTTGCCCTGCCTGTTTTAAGGATCCATTTATACAATTGTTTACCAAACGTATCTGGTTAAACAATTATTCATTAAGTATATGCATTTATTTGGGAGTATTTCCATGATATGCTTACAGCTCATTAGATTTAATTACATATCCTGATATGGATACATCATCGAGGTCTTCCTGGGATGGAGTTCACGAAATGGTCGGAATATGCTGAGTTGACGCTCTCTGTCTTGAGAGAGCTTGTTGTTTTTCTATAAATAGCATGTTTGGTCCATGTGCTTTCATTGACCATGTTACTTAGACATGTTATGCTAAAATTTTGGTGGAAATTTTCCACAGTACCTGACGTTGTCGAATAAGGGGATGCTTTTATTGTCAAACCTTGCCTTCGTTGGTGAAGCTGATCTCGACGGACTGATGGTTCTTACGGTTGCGAATGCAAGATGTATATCGACAATGCACCCCTGGGGGCCCTGTCTAGTTGGGTGTTCTAATTGTTGTTCCATTGTGAGTATGGGGGGCTTAATCGTGGACGAAACTAATTTTTTTCTTCGTTTCTATGAAGATTTTTTACCCTCATTCAGCTTCTGAGACTCATGGGATGGGCGACCAGGGGCCTGAGTTAGATTGTATGGAAGGAATGGCTCTGCAGCCTCCGTTACATAGGGCCAGACCAAACTGCTTCTCTGACTCTCTCTGCTCCCCCTCCCCATCTCTGGCAGGGTTGAGAGGGGTGATGGTGCAGGATAACTAACAATGTGTGTGACACAGGGACAGGGGTGATGGTGGCCCTGGTGCAGCTGGTGCAGGATAACTAACACTGTGTGTGACACAGAGACAGGGGTGATGGTGGCCCTGGTGCAGCTGGTGCAGGATAACTTACACTGTGTGTAACACAGGGACGGGGTGATGGTGGCCCTGGTGCAGCTGGTGAAGGATAACTAACACTGTGTGTGACACAGAGACGGGTTGATGGTGGCCTTGGTGCAGCTGGTGAAGGATAACTTTTACTGTGTGTGATACTGGGACGCGGGTGATGGTGGTCCTGGTGCAGCTGGTGAAGGATAGTTAACACTGTGTGTGACACGGGGACGGGGTGAGGGTGACCTTGGTGCAGCTGGTGCAGGATAACTAACACTGTGTGTGACAGGGACGGGGGTGATAGTGGTCCTGGTGCAGGTGGTGAAGGATAATTAACACGGGGGCCGTTTAATGGTGGACTTGATGCAGCTAGTGTAGGATAACTAACACTGTGTGTGACACAGGGACGGGTTGATGGTGGCGTTGGTGCAGCTAGTGTAGAAAACCTAACACTGTGTGTGACACAGGGACGGGTTGATGGTGGCCATGGTGCAGCTAGTGGAGGATAACTAACACTGTGTGTGACACAGAGACGGGTTGATGGTGGCCTTGATGCAGCTAGTGTAGGATAACTAACACTGTGTGTGACACAGGGACGGGTTGATGGTGGCCTTAGTGTAGCTAGTGGAGGATAACTAACACTGTGTGTGATACAGGGACGGAGTGACGGGGTGCGGGGTGATGATGGCTCTGCTGCAGCTGGTGGCGAGGATGAAGCTGGTGCAGGAGGTTAACGTCTACCGCTCCGTCCTCAGCATCGTCTACGACAGACCTCAGTTCATCACCAGCGTCGTAAGTTATGCTCCTCTTCCATCTTCTCAAGACGTGTCTAGTAGTGAAGACTTCGCTATCCTGCACCTCATTATGCTCCTCTTCCATCTTCTCAAGTCGTGTGTTTGTTAGTGGAGACTTATCACTCCTGCTCCTCTTCTATTTTCTCAAGACTTGTTTAGTAGTGAAGACTTCTCTCACCTGCACCTTATTATGCCAATCTTCCATCTTCTCAAGACGTGTGTTTGGTAGTGAAGATTTCCTCCATTTCTTCTATAAGATGGTCGCCAACAGGTCGTCTTGTATGAATTAATCCTAGCTTTGTTAATCTAACACAACTCACTCTTCCCCTAACCTAGCATAGTCTGATCTAGCCTCTCCTAACCGAGTATAGTCTCATCTAGCCACTCCTAACTTAGCATAGTATTGTCTAGCCATTACTAAGCTAGCATTAGGAGACCATTCTCTCTCTTCTCCCGCGCTGTGTGACCACTCTCCCACACTGTGTGACCACTCCCTCTTCTCCCACATTGTGACCACTCCCTCTTCTCCCACACTGTGTGACCACTCTCTCTTCTCCCACACTGTGTGACCACTCTCTCTTCTCCCACACTGTGTGACCACTCTCTCCTCTCCCTCACTGTGTGACCACTCCCTCTTCTCCCACACTGTGTGACCGCTCCCCCACACTGTGTGACCACTCTTTCTTCTCCCACACTGTGACCACTCCCTCTTCTCCCACACTGTGTGACCACTCTCTCTTCTCCCACACTGTGTGACCACTCTCTCTTCTCCCGCACTGTGTGACCACTCTCTCTTCTCCCTCACTGTGTGACCACTCCCTCTTCTCCCACACTGTGACCGCTCCCCCACACTGTGTGACCCCTCTCTCTTCTCCCACACTGTGTGACCACTCCCTCTTCTCCCACACTGTGTGACCACTTCCTCTTCTCCCACACTGTGTGACCACTCTCTCTTCTCCCACACTGTGTCACCACTCCCTCTTCTCCCACACTGTGTGACCACTCTCTCTTCTCCCTCACTGTGTGACCACTCTCTCTTCTCCCGCACTGTGTGACTACTCTCTCTTCTCCCACACTGTGTGACCGCTCCCCCACACTGTGTGACCACTCTCTCTTCTCCAACACTGTGTGAACACTCCCTCTTCTCCCACACTGTGTGACCACTCTCTCTTCTCCCACACTGTGTGACCACTCTCTCTTCTCCCGCACTGTGTGACCACTCTCTCTTCTCCCTCACTGTGTGACCACTCTCTCTTCTCCCGCACTGTGTGACCACTCTGTCTTCTCCCACACTGTGTGACCGCTCTCTCTTCTCCCGCACTGTGTGACCACTCTCTCTTCTCCCTCACTGTGTGACCACTCTCTCTTCTCCCGCACTGTGTGACCACTCTGTCTTCTCCCACACTGTGTGACCGCTCCCCCACACTGTGTGAACACTCTCTCTTCTCCCACACTGTGTGACCACTCCCTCTTCTCCCACACTGTGTCACAACTCCCTCTTCTCCCACACTGTGTGACCACTCTCTCTACTCCCACACTGTGTGAAAACTCTCTCTCTTCTCCCACACTGTGTAAACACTTTCTCTTCTCCCACACTGTGTAAACACTCTCTTCTCCCACACTATGTGACCACTCTCTCTTTTCCCACACTGTGTAAACACTCTCTCTTCTCCCAAACTGTGTGACCACTTTCTCTTTTCGCACACTGTGTAACCACTCTTTCTTCTCCCACACTGTGTGACCACTCTCTCTTTTCGCACATTGTTTAACCACTCTCTCTTCTCCCACACTGTGTGACCACTCTCTCTTTTCCCACACTGTGTAACCACTCTCCCTTCTCCCACACTGTGTAACCAATCTCTATTCTCCCACACTGTGTGACCACTCTCTCTTTTCCCACACTGTGTAACCCTCTCTCTTCTCCCACACTGTGTGACAACTCTCTCTTCTCCCACACTGGTGACCACTCCCTCTTCTCTCACACTATGTGACGACTCTCCCACACTGTGTGACCACTCTCCCACACTGTGTATGTTATACTCAAATTCTGTCAGTTGAAATGTAACCAATCACAGGCAAGTAGGCCTCTGACGTCATGCCAGACAGAGGAGCATCAAGCATGCTCCCAGCAGCCGCAGTTATCCTCACAGGCTCAGAGTAGAAGGACCTCGGCTAGGCAGATATATACCTTGCTATCTCAGTCAATAAATATATACAGAAGAGACTACTGTGTCTACCTTCTACCCGAACAAGGCAAACGAATACTGGTAGCAGCAGTGGGACCCAGAAATTTTTCTGGAAACAAAAGTTCAAGTACCCAGCATCGCCTCGTGTTCCAGCCATAACCGCCGCCACCGCCACCGCCATAAGCCGCCATCCTGCCACCCACGCATCAAATATTGTGCCAGACCGGGGTCCTGCCATCAACCACTACTCCAGGCCAACGTTTCAGAAGTAAGGGTCAATATTTTCCTGTGAGAACGCTCATTCATCAGTGAGGAGGAAGGAAGCTTCCCGCGCCAGCCATTTTTTTGAACCTCGCGCCACCACGTGGGAACCACCTAGTGCACCCACCACCACCACCGCCACCCAAGCTGACAGTATCTAAGCTTTGTGAGTGTTCAAGCTACTGAAATCGTGGTCAATCATCGTCGCAACTATCAACTGAGCATCGTATGTACTGTATTGTTCCTTGAGAATATTTGGTGGACTGCAATTGTTTGACTAGTGTCGCCTCCCCAGGCTCACACGCCTCGCCTCCCTCTAAGCTCACACCTCGCCACCAGCCCCTGCTACATCATTTTGTGTGAACTCCTGCCTCCCAATCGTGTTTCTCCACCGACATCGTCGTAATATCGTCGTCGTCAGAATTTATCTTCGCACTTCCAGCATCAACAGTATGGGGTCCCTGAGTTTCGCGCCACCGCCGCCAGGAGCGCTGCCATCGCACCAGTTTGTAAACAAGCCCTCACATGGTCCTCTTCACACGTCTGGTCACCGTTTTTCGTTTTGGCCACTGTTATATTGCAAATCCTGCAGCCCTGAGTTAAGTAAATATGAGCTAAGATATCGTGTGCTATGATTTAATGAGGTTTAACGTAAATATATCCAAAATATCTTATGAATTAATCTTTCAGTGACTTGTTAAATATTGGAGCCGGTTTAGTACTCCAGAGGCCCACAGTTTCTCTGAGACATTTCAATATTCCCTGCATATGATTCCATTATTCATTAATTGTTACTAGTGTCATTACTGAATTCAAAGGCGAGAGAAGTAAGAAATAATTGTTTCTAGCAGTTATATACATTCCTGTGTCCAGTTTATGTGCTACATCCATATTTCTTGCATTGCCACTTGTTGTGTTGAATCTTTTTAATGAAATTTTGCAATTGCACTTCCAGTTTTTATATTCTCAATTGCTGTGCTTAGTCTGGTTTAATTAATTTACATACATCTAATTCCAGTCATTTTTTTAATGAAAGATTGCTAAATTTAGTTTACAATTGCTTGTTCTTAATTATTTTCTTGCCTAGCCCAATTTAATAATTTTATTTCTGCCATTTTTACTTTAGCCAAGTTGATATTTTTTTGTGTTTATTTTTGTGTATACTATTTCTGATGCCAGGTGCACTTAATTATAATCTGCGTTCAAATATTACTTCCACGGCTGTGACAATGCCTACCACTGTTGAAACCCCTTCAGAATCAATGGGAACAGTTGCTCGTCCCAATGGCCAGAGATCAGCTCAGGAAATGGCTATTCCTCTTTTTGCTGGGGAATCGCGTTTATTAGAATCATGGTTTAGTAAGGTTGAAGCGAAAACAGTTGCACGTTTTTCTACGCCTACTGATGCCGAATACTTAGCAATTGCACGGTCAGCCGTGGACACAACCAAAGGTGATGCACGTTTTGTTGTTGATGAGAAAGCCATTGTTAGCCTCCAGTCTTGGCCTGAATTTAAGGATTTCTTTCGCCGTCGCTTTGTTAATAAAGGAGACCTTGACCCATATAGGTTAGTCAAGAAAATTGCCAATGCCACCATGCAGCCTGGTGAATCGTTTAATGCGTTTACTAGCCGTCTCGATCAGTATCTGTATGCCTTAGTTTCTGCTATGAATAATTCGACTTGGTTAGATAAAGACAATAATCTGTCCCCTGAGGCTATGGCCAAAATGATAGCATTTGGTACTTTAATGCATTTTGCCCCCGAGCATACAAAACCAATCGTTGAGCAACAAAATTTTGGTGTTAAACATGAAATTGGTGAAGTATTTGAGGCTATTAACAATGCCGCAGATAAACTAGCTCCCCGAAGTGCTCAACTGTTGCCACCCTCTGATGCTGTAAATGTAGTCACAAGCTCTCAGCATCCTCCCACAAATTCTCAAAACTCTTGGTCGCAGAAGCGTACCCATGCTCGTAGCCCCCAGTCAAATTCGCCGCCTCATAAAATGCCGAAACGCCATAGTCCACAACCATCCACTCCCTCATGTTGGCATTGTGGTAAGAGTAACCACCTTGCAAGGGACTGTTGGTCCGCCCCTAGATCATCACCTCCTAGACAATTCTCTCGGCCCCCTCATCAATCTAATCATTCTAGGCTTCCATATTGCACGTACCATAAACAAGTTGGTCACCACACTGCGGATTGTAGAGCTAGGCAAAGGACATCTCCACCTCGTAACTCCCATGGTCAGTCTTGGCGAGGCTCACAGCGTCCAAGACATTATCAGAACTCTCGTAATTACAACTCCCAGCCCAGCTATAATGCAACTTCAAATTATAATGCTCAGTCACAGAATGCTGGAGCTCAGAATGTTCACTCCATGTCGTCGGGAAACCCCCAAGGCCATCCGCTAACCAATTCAAGCTAGCCAATCCTAGTGCCCTCCCTGTGTATTCAGTAGCTACCCAAAATAGATTTGGACACTTGACAGAGGAGGACACTGACTCTAGACCAGTTGTAGATGTTGACGGATCCACAGTAAATTTGACACAAACAAGACACAGATATCCCAGACAACATAAGTCAAAAATAGTAACTTGTCCAGTCTCAAGTGATGGTCCCCTTGTATCAGCCATTGTACATGGTAGAGTTTTAAAAGTT